TCCGCGGCCTCCCGGACGCGCAGTTCTTCCACGCCATCACCCGCCACCATCCCCGCCGCCTCCGTCCGCGTCGCCGTCGCCGCCACCTCCGTCCGCGTCGTCGCCGCCGCCGCCTCCCTCCGCCTCGTCGTCGCCGCCGCCGTCGCCGTCTGCCAGCTCGATTGCGACGCAACTTGCGATTAACCACCCGTACCTCCAACTCCTAAGCACTTCGGGTGCCCCCCCCCCCCCCCACCACCACACACACACACACACACCTATCCCCAATGTCCTAGCCTCGCCGCCACACGCGCCCTGCCGCACAGGCGTCTGCCGCACGGACGAAAAGAACAAGGGCAACTTTGACGAGCTTTGGGGTATCGAGCGGGGCACATGGGGTGCCACGACAGTGTGTCTCTACACCCTCGGCTGCACCGGTGTGCGCCTACCCCCCCCTCCCCAAAATCCTCCCCCTTGGGGCGCAACACACACCGCGCCTCGGCCCGCGCAGGGTTCGAGTACGCCGTCGAAGGCAAGGCGTCCCGCTGCAAGCTCTTCAAGGGCCCCATCCTCTCGACGCTGCCCGTCGGCGGCGCGAGCTGCTACAAGAAGGCGTCCAAGACGGAGCTCGGGCCGCACAAAAAGCGGCTCTAGTGAGGCCGTCAAGGGCGACCTCAAGCCGTCCTCCTTCTTCTCGCTGCGCGGACTCGATCATGAACATCTCGCACGAGTAGAACCTCTCGCTTCCCCTCGGGGGAGTCCAGTCTGATCGGGGAGAATTGCCCCACGTCCGCGTAAGCATTAGGCGCGGCAGACTTTGCATGCTCGTCCCATCTCCACATCTTCTCAGGTCATACCGACCTGGGGGGGGGCGTTGGAATGCGGAGATAGTAACTACTCTCTGTGATGCCCTCTTGGCACTTTACTCCTGTCCCGCGTGGCTCAGTGTCTCACATGAGTTTCTTCCCTCGATTGTGTCACGCGGGGAGGGGGTCGCTTTCTGTTCTGCCTTTGTCCGCGGCTCGCGCTCTGCTTGCGGAACCTTTATATCTTTGTAGCAATCTCAATTTGTACGTAGTGGGGGAAATGGTGATTTTTAAGTTTAAATTTCGGCGGTGAAAAGTCGCTTCCAAACGGTTTCTCGAAGCAGGATGGAGTCGTCCCTGGTTTCAATCAGAAATTTCGCATCGAACTGGAGGGTAGGGAGGGGGCACGGATGGGGGGAGGGGGCTTTAGAGCGGGCTTTGCCGCGCGGCCGGGAGGCACGCTGCCGCGCCCTTGGGCTTAGTTTGAGCCTGCGGCGACCCTAGAGGCATGGAGATTGCGGTGGGGTGCGAGAGATTTTCCGCGCGCGGGCACGACCGAGGTGCCACTGCAACGTGTTCACACTGGCGACACCGGTTTCTTCTTTCCAGGAGGACTAGCGTGACACTATCGAGGGAAGAAACTCATGTGAGACAGAGGGTCACGCGGGACAGGAGACTAAAGTGCCAAAGGGGGCACTACAGAGAGCAGTTACTATCTCCGCATTCCAACGCGACATGCTGGTGGCTACCGGTCTCTTGATTGCCTGATTTTGCAGCCCACTTCTTCTCTTCCACCTGGTGGTGCGATGGGCTCCCTCCCGCGGGGAGATGTCAGCGCGCTGTCAGCCCTCTGTAGCATCAGGTGCAAAGGAAAGAGTGGGCTGCTGATTTTGACGATTCTCGTTGGACCGCCGCTCGGAGCGAATCCCCAAACCTCTCAGCTCAAAATTTATTTGTTTGGGCAGTGTTCGACCGGGCTAGTACTTGGCGCCCGCCTTTGTTTTAGTAGTTAGTCTTGCCTGTTCACACTTTGGTACGGCACAGTATATATCCAAAAGTGTGTGTGTCTCGCGCCTTGCGGGGGGGGAGCGGAAGCGAGTCAGGCCTCGAAGCCCAAAAGCCGCATCACATTCCCGTCGACGACGCCACAGGTCCAACCCTCGCCTTTCCCGTTCCGCTCGCGCTGGCCCCGCCGCGTCGACGCACATATGGCCGCGGGGAGCGCCCTCACCGCGCCCGCGCCGCACCCCACCCGCGCCGCACCTCCCCCACATAGTCGCCTCTGCCGCCACCGCCGCCGCCGCTGCCGCTGCCACTTGCGTCCCCACCCGTCCACCGCTCCGCGCCCTCATCGCTCCCTCACCGCGCCCTCACCGTGCCCACGCCCTCGCCGCGCCCTCACCGCGCCCGCGCCCTCACCGCGCTCGCGTCCGCGCCGCACCCTCACCGCGCCCTCACCGCCGCTTGTGTCGCCACCGCCGCCGCTGTCGCAGCTGCCAACGCCGCGTTGCCCCCTCACTTACCCTCCACACCCACCACACCCTCTCCACCCCCACCCGACCGTCACGTCGCACCTACAGCGCCACGCCCCCCATCTGCCGCACCCGCCGCCGCCGCCGCTGCCGCACTATCCCCCCCCTGCCGCCACTGCTGCCGCCGCTGCCGCCGCCGCTGCCGCCGCCGCCTCTTCCTTCCACACCCCGCACGCAGCCCCCGCACCCCCCCCCCCCCTTGCCTA